CTACTAATGGAAATCGGGCTTTTTCTACCCCTAATTGAAATCACACGTATCTTTTGTAAATTGCCGTATCTCGTATTCTTTTTGTGCACCAGCGAAAAACTATATTTCATATGGTTAATCGACGTATTAAGCGAGTAAGCGACGGTTTGTAAAGGAATTTTAGACGTACGTGCGAAATTGTGCACAACCGCACATATTATTGTTTTGCAAGATCAATGTCATTTGATTATTTTTATTAATCCAATCAAAGATTCTTTGCACATCAACACATGTATTATGTATATATATTGCACAAAGTGTTTTAATTTCTCGAATTCCAACAACTTTGAAGCTCAAAACATAGACCAAAACATCCACCAAACACATATTCTAAACCTCATCATTCATCAACACATGAACTAATTAATAATTTAGTTGCATTAATTAAGAATACATCTTCCTAAAAAATATCTGATCACGTGCTAGATAGCCTTATCGTGAAATAATTGAGAGAATTGTAACAGCTGGATTATTTGGGTAAACAAATAATGTACCTTAATTTAATGAATTAAGTTCTATTTATAGTTTCTTGATTTGGTCGATATCAATTTATTGAATTTGATTTGGTCGATATCAATTTATTGAATCCAAACTTTATTCGAAGGTGATTGGGCTTTTGTAGTAATAATCTATATATATATATATATATATATATATATATATATGAAAAAAGTTGCTTATGTTGATTTAATCTCAAAAAAAAAAATTACAAAACAAGAAATTGACCATTAATCTGATATACCTTTACATAGGCAAGCAAGAAATCTACTAAACCAATTATATTTAGCTCTTTTCACATTTTCCGACGGTTTCTCGCCGGAGCAAAAGCTGACAGGCGGTGATGATGATGCCAAATAAGCTCTTCTGGGAACTAGCGGAGACCACAGCCCGCTTTGCTCGTAATCGAAGTCGAATTCTTTAGCATCAAAGTATTTTCCGACGAGCCTGTCTGATAAAGTTCTTGACACCAGTTGAACGGACCGCCGTGGGCTGCCGCCGCCAGAGGAGGAGGATGTTTCAGATGATGTTCTTGGTCGTAATTGCTTTTCCGACATGGCACGTGTATCGTGATTAGTCGTCGAGATGTAATTTTTCAAGAGAAATGTTTTTTTTGGAGTAAGCATAGATAAACCCTTTTTTCTTCTTGGGGCTCTTGAATTTCAAAGACAGTTGAAAAGGAATGAAATTTTTTGGTCACTTGTGTATGTTTGTTTGTATGTAAAGATCGATATATAATATATATGCATATTTATATATATGTATATATATTATATTATACATATACTTTGCTTTAGTAATTGGTAACCACCCACTAAATTACACACATATACTAATCCGTGTCTTCTACGCATATTTTTGACATGATTAAGAAACTATTATTAGAGGAAAATTTTAATAAAAGTCACTAATCATAAGAACTATATTTAGACCCTTCTTTATTTATTTTTGTTCTTCCCTAAATGTAAAATAGAAATATGGAATACGACATGCATAATTTGATCGTTGGTAGTTCAATTGACGGGTTGTGGTACTTCAATTTATTTTGTGTTTCGGAGTCTGTGTTTTTTGCCGAGAACTTCTAACGAGTGGTCAACTAGATGCGTAATCAAATAAATTGAATTGGAGGATTTTTTTACCCGAGAAAAAAAAATATCCTTGTATAAAAAGAATATTAATTTAGTGAACTTTTGAATATTTACCGATATTTATTAAAAAGGAAGATTATTGAATTGAACTTTGATAATGCTGATGAGTGCATTGATATATGAACACAAGTTATATATTTAATTTATTTTTGGATCTTTTGGTGTTCTTGTGAATATATTAGGTATGATAATGTCACTAGCTAAAATTGAAAATACACTATTATCCTCCTATCCAACTACTTTTTTTTTCTTTCCATTTTTCCGCCTTTTCCTGCCAGTATCCGGTTGTCGACTGTCCAAATTCTATCACATCATCATTCGAAAAGATTATTTTCATCTAAGATATCTAGTAGCAGTCCAAATTCTTCAACTAAATTGCTCATTTTCAGTTGAACTGTTTATTTTCAGTTTAAACTTTTCTACTGAGTTGTCTAAGCCTTTTTACTTTCAGTCTACCTAAGCTATCTCGAGGAACTTTTACCAAATGTAAAACATTCAAACGGATTGTTAGCTATACAAAATATTTTGAGGGACTTTTAGCCAATTTCTCCTATTAAACGGTTTTGAGTGAAATAGATTCACATGTTAATTGACATCTTAATTAAGTTGTAATACTATTAATTTTGGTAATGTACAATGACACTGCCTTAAACTCTACGTTCCATGCAATACACCCATGAAAGTTTAAAGTACTCCTTTTGTGGTGTTACATGAACACATCAATTTAATTTACTTAGGATAATAATAGAGGCTAGAAGTACCAAAGTACCCAAAAAAAAAGGGTTTTTCATTACGAGTTCTAGTTCTTCTGATAAACATTTTTTATACATCACCCTTATCGTTTGATGTAATTACAAAAATATCTTCTTATTTAAATTACAATCACTACTCTCAACTAATGGTCCATTAGAAATCTTAGAGGAAACATAAGTTATCATACAAAATCGGTTAAATAATTAAAAAAAAAAACCTTTAAAATGTAAAATTATGATTTTCTCCCTCTTATTTATGTTAGACATGCTTACAAATATATTTTTGTATGAATTTCTAAATTATAAAATTGTTTAAAAGCTATATGCAAGTATTTTTTATTAAATTATTTGTTCTTTTGTTAGTACATAATAAAAATATATGAAGTAGAAACTTATAATTGCAGTATTATTGATTGGAAGGTGCAAAATTGGAAGAATTTGTCCAACATAGTAACATTACAAGGAAAATTATTTCAATTTCTTTGATTTTTCATATATTTTCTTCAAATATGCTCTTTAAATTGTTTTTCAAGTCGTTCTTCAAATATTTTCTTCACTAATCGTTAAATTTGTTGTAGTTGCCTTCAATAACCTTCACCGACGAGTTCATTTTGGATGTAATTTTCTTCGGGACTATTATTATCATCATTGTTTTGTTGTTGGTTTCTAATTTCTGCTTCAACGCAATCTTGCTTGAATCCTTCACATTAATTCGATCGATCATTGTTAGACAATTTATCGTTGAAGTCAAAGTCCTACTACCTACAATAAAGACTGACTTCGATGCCATAGTGGAATCCGGAGTCCTAGTTAATAGATCACATGCCATCTAAAAACGAAACTCAATCACTTGCCGTCAGTTTAAAATATCGATGTTTTCAAAATCTTTCGAGGCATTAAGCGGATTTCAACTTTCTAAATACAAGGTGACTTCATTAGTTCCACTATATTCAAGTATGTTGTTCAAAATTTTCACATGCAACAACCACTACAACAAATATTGCTTTATACGACGGATAAAAAGCGTCGAGAAAAGCCAAAAACCGTCAGGAATACTATTCTTGACGGTTTTCAAACCGTCAGAAAACCGTCAAGAAAAAAGGCGTCGTTTATACTTTTGTGTACAAAAAAACCGTCAAGAAAAGTTTTTCCCGACACTTAAAAACCGTCGAGAATACTTGCATTTTTTCTTGTCGCACGTTCAGGGAAGTAGTCTAGTATATAATATATTGGGAACCTGTCAATGGTCAATGCAAAAAAGCCAAAAATGAATAATAATTTTTTGCACAGTATGCGATACCACTTTATTCACAAAATATATCTTCGAAATAATATTTACATTTGAAATTTCTATTAGGCCTACCAAATACCAAACTCCATTCACCAAATCTATCTGCAGAATACATTAAGACCAAACTCTATTCACAAAACCTATCTGCAGAATACATTAAAACCGAACTCTATTCACAAAACCCATTAACAAAATAACATCTACATTTGAAGTTAAATGAACACAATACTTGACAATGAAACGCAAAAATATAAAGATGCCAAAAATATCCTCCTGCCACCATGTGCCCTCTTCTCACCATGTGCTAAAAATATCCAACTTCAAACCTGTACATATGTGCATTTAATCAGTAAACAACTAAATACTCATGTGAAAAAATCTCTGAGAATAAACAACAAACTAATACATGTGATGTATGTGATACTGCTTCATATAGAGGAAACATGCTCACACAACTAAGTACTAGTAGATTTAGAGATTTAACAATCAATATTACCAAATATTACATATAAACAGAAATATTACAAAAGATACCTGAAAGTGTAGAGCATGAAAATCGATGAAGTATGAAATTGTCAAGCCAAAATCAAGAAACTACCTATTACCGGTAGACACTTCCATTTTGAACCAGGTCATCTTGCAGGTCACTGCACCTACCAAATTAAAATTAATTACTACTCTTGATATAGAATATGCATATGATTAAAGTATAACAATACTAACCTTCGTTCAAAAGAATCTCCTGTTCAAAACGAATTCTAAACCTCATTTCACAGGAAAACGAATGCGTAAGGCTCTTGAAGACTTATGATAAGGCACGATAATCTCGGATGAATGAACCTGTATAACATACTCCGATTTCAGAGGTTTACTCCACTGGAAAAAGAAGTTATGAGAACGCAAGGATATACATCAACACATAGAGAAAACACCAACACAAATAAGTCTTGACGGAAATTATAGAGTACGGAGACTCGAGTAATTACCTCGTCAACAAAATCATGCGCAATACGTTTGACAACCTCAAACAGATTGTTTTTAGTAAATGGTGCAAAATTTATGAGTTGAACACGAAGACTTAGTAAGAAGGGAATAAAAATCTGATACAAAAACACCAATAGCAACATACTTGTTCGAGGGTTGATTAACTAGTGTCAAATTAATCATTCACATAGATACGCGGATAAGAAAAGAAAATTGCTAGTATTAGCTACATACTTGTGTAAACATTTTAACCAGAAGTCATTTGCTTCGTGGGACAGATGCTCGGATATTGGTGGATGGGATTTAGTTGTTCCTGCATAAAAGAGAGCAACAGCCTGAAATAAGACCAACAAGTTACACCTAAAATTAATTCATGAGAACAGAGAATTGTGGACCTTAAGGCTATTATATTCAGAACACTATTATATGCATACCTCCTGATATTGATGACTTCAAGGACCCTTTCCAGTGGTCACTACGACACTTCATATATCCGTAAATCTGTGTTATAATCAGATAATTATTTCTTGTAAGATAAATTTCATACCTTTGAAAATGGTTTAAAGCTAACACGAAACATAATAATACAAAAGTGCAACACAAAAGATTCTCACCAACAAAAATTGAAGATATTATACAGCTAAAAAAATATCCATTTTTTGTCCTTCAAAACAGAGGAAAAATAAACAAATCTACATAGTCAAATGCTTGAAGAAAAGCACATAAATTAAAATTGAAAGGATTAATACTTTACCTAGATAAACTATCTGAAAGCAATCAATTCGGCCAAAGCTCACAGAGACAGCATTCACATCCCAAAAACGTTGGTTGAAGCTTTCTATTGCACATTCAAGCCAATGAGCTAAAGGAGAGAGGACAGTGAATTTCGGCAGTCTACAAATGATGATTGGCAACAATACAAATTTATCTAATAAAATGTTTAAAAATTAAAACATAGGTAGATAGAAATTTTAGGGTAAAAAATCAATACGAGAAGAAAGCGGAGACATAAGTGGCGTTGGCGATGGAGACGAAGGTGGCTACAACGGTGGCGGTGGAGGTTGCGTTGGTGGTAGCGGTGGAGGTGGTAATCGCGATGGCGGTGGAGGAAGGGATCCCGATTGCGATGGAGACAACAATGAAGGAGGGGATAGCGATGGAGACGACGATGGCGGTGGATTTATGATTGCGACGCCACGCGACGACGATAGCGGCGGTGGAGGTGCCGGCGACCGCGACGATGATAGCGGCGGTGGAGGTGGCGACCGCGACGGCGATAGCGGCGGTGGAGAAAAGCCCTAGCTTTTCTAGATATATCGACGGGAAGAGAAAAAGTAATAAAGTGAATTTAGGAAACTTTTTGCTTATTTAATTATTTAAAATCAGGTTCACTTTTAAGATTATTTTTATATCAAATTAGTTTTTCTCTTGACGGTTTTTATGTGTCGAAATTGGTTTAAAAAACGTCAATAATATTCTTTTATACGACGGTTTTTATGTGTCAAAATCGATTTAAAAAGCGTCAAGAACGGTCTTTTATACGACGGTTTTCAAACCGTCGGGTAAAACATGCGTCGTATAAAGGCTAAAATGTTGTAGTGAACAATATTTTTGAACACGAAAAAAAAGAAAAAAAAAAAGATATGGGCCGGGCCTCGGAGCGGGCTCGGTGGATGAGCCACCAGCCCGCGCCCGCCTGTGAGTTAAATTAGTTTGTATATCGTGTGTATTTGTTCTGGGCAGCATAACTCAAGATTGCAAAGTGTATTTAATTTTATTTAATATTATATTATTATATGAACATCACTTTATTCAGATATAATTTATTATATATTAATTTGTCCTGGCTCAATTAGTCATAGCAGCAGTTATGGTGATGGTATTTATGTATGTTATCTTGGTGGCGTTATTGGACTGACTTTGCTACGTCCACACAAATTAAATTTCAACACCAACTTATTCAATGACAGTACGTTGCATATATATCCATACTCATACGTTATTTAATTTCATTTACTTTTTATTTATTTATTAATTTTACTATATCATCGTAATGTTGTTTCATTAACTAATTTCAAAGGACATTGCTAAATTATGTACACCACATTCCATCACGATTCACGGTGGTGCACGCAATTAAAGCTTTTGCATCTTTTTTTTGTTTCATCGATAGCAAATTACAATTTTTATCCCTCAAATTTGCAAAAAATTTACATTTGACCCCCATGTTTACAAAAAAATACATTTGGTCCTGATGTGTCCAAAATTAAATACTTTTAGGTTTTTTCCGTCAATTTTCTGTTAGTGCTAACGGAATCATGTGTGTGTTCGTCACTGCTTTAGCTGACGAACTAACGGTAAATTGACAGAAATGACCAAAAGTGTCAAAATTTTCAAACATCATAACGGAATAAATGTGAAATCAATACAAACTTAAGGAATAAAAATTGTAATTTTTCCCTCAATAATTAGTTATTATTATTATTATTTTCTTTTTCTAGGGGAGGCTGGTAATTAAGTTTTAAGTGTTTAAATGCAGCTTTCGCTTTTGCTTCTTTACATGCAAATGGTTTTAACTTTTAAGTCAAAATCTCAAAACTAATATGTATGTGTAGCAACTTTTTTGAGTTTATTAAAACTTAATTGGACGTTTGTGTTCTTATTGTTTATTATCTAAGGACATTTGACACAATTTATTAGTAATAAATAAATGGGCAAAATACACTTTGCACCCCTGAAGTATAGCTCATGTAATCTCTTACCCCCTTAAAGTATCATTTGTAACACTTATCCCCTCAACATCAATTATTTTATATTTTAAAATTTTAAAAATAATAAACATAACAATCTAATAATTAATGGTTCATAGAAAATTGAAAAGTAACTAAAATTAATTATTGAAAAAAAATTTAAAAAGTAATATATATTGGGTAATAATGAATGAAAATATATTTAAAAAAGTTAATAAACTAAAATAAATTTAAATACTTAAAATTTCTATTAGTTATGTATTGATTTCTCAAAATTTATCGATAGAGTATTTTTGATTAATTGGTCCAACAACAATTAGATGTTATTTATTGAAAAAGTATCCAACGCAAGATAATATTTTTCAATTTTAAAATATTGTATATATTTTACAACAGATATTTATAGTTGTATAATTTAATTATTCTTTTAGTTATTCCTTTCAATAAAATAATTTTTTAAGGTATTAAAATTTAAAATACAAATTAAATTGTAATTGAGGGGTAAGTGTTACAAATGATACTTTAAGGGGATAAGTGTTACAGAGGGTATACTTTAAGGGTGCAAACTGTATTTAACCCTAAATAAATTATTTAAAGTCAACTTGTATACCCTAATTTTTAGGAATAAATAATCATTTCAAACTTTATTGTAAATCACAAACTTTTATTTATTGAAAAGTTTCTACAAACACAACACCATGACCCATGCATCATACATTGTTCGTCACAAAGATAAGGAAGAAATGAACCGGGTTTGAGTTTACTCCGGTTAATAAAAAAAGCCAGTGGCAACTGCAAGTAAATATCTAAGTGTGGAAAGGGCATTTCTGGGCAGAAACAGAAGGCCCTTTAAGTAGTCCACCAAATAGCTCAGCTGGGTCATAGTATATCTCCACATCCTCTGCCCTCAGTGACTCATCAACCTGTCCATAAATTCTTATGTTATTTAATTAAACTATGTTATAACATATATTCATACTACAAATATAATTTTATAATAAAAAAAATTCGGAAATTCAAAATTTTAATTTGTAGAATTATAGACTTAGGTGGTGTATTTTGCAAAAACTTATAATTAAAAACAGATGTTAGTGATAGTGAGTTAAATTTGTATTAAATGCTTGCTCTTAAAAGTTGGCATGTTGCAAGTATGTCGATAATCAAGTCGATATAGAAAAAAACATGTTCATAAGTGTTTTTCAAATTACAGATAAAAACAACTTATTTTAAAAATAAACTAAAATTAAAAATTAGGTTTGCAATTACCTAAAAATAGATTATAAGCTAATAAAAATATGTCAAAAGTTATTTCTAAAAGCTTTTGCAAACGCAGCGCAGCTTAAAAATAGGAGAAAACTTACTTTGAGAATTCCTACACCAAAGAACTCCACCAAATCTCCGGTGGGGGCATGCCCTTTGAACGGGCCTTCGAAGTAACCCCAGTGCCGGAACTTAAACGAGATCACCGGCGGGCCCGAATAAACCGCCAGCACCTCCCACGCGAATCCACGTGGCAGCGCCGACCTGAAAACATCGTGCGACGATTCGAAGCTCTCTTCGTCCGCCTTGTAGTATTTGAACTCCTCCGGCATCGAACTCTTCAGCAGCGCGTTGTAGCTTCCCACTTTCAGTGTCTCCTCCGCAGACAATCCCTCCCTCCCTGTTTATTATTCCTTAATACTTAATTAATTAAAAACAAAAGAGAGAGGGATTAATTAACGTTAATTAATTAATCACCATTAACGATGAGCTTAAATTTGTCTGGGCTAATAGTCTTGAAATCTTGAATCCGAGTCTTGTGAGATAGCTCCATCTCCCATGATTTTATAGCGTTTTGCACCACCTCTTCTAGAGACCCTTTTGCCCATTCCTACAAACAATAACCTAATTAATTTCAAAACACACACACACACACATATATATATATATATACATACAGACATATATATATATATATATATATATATATATATATATATATATATACACATACTTTGGTACGGCCTTGTTCGAAAAGGCGGTTGACGCTGTGGTACGTGGGAGGGGCGCCGTGCCTCCACTGTGTGTTTTGTTCTTCATCACCATGCAAGAAGGACCTGTATTTATCTGCTGCTGTAATTACTTGGAATTCTGCACTTAATTGTTTTTCTGAAGTCTCCATTTTCTACTGAAAATCTGCTAAGTATTTGCTTCACATATATATAGGAGAAAGATATATATGTTATGTTATGTTATGTTATGTTAGTACCCTATTTTAATTTCACCAGTAAAATATTTAGTTACAGTCACTTCTTATGTAAGGTGAAATTACGAAAAACCCTCTCTTGTTTCAGTAATTACATTCATCTCCCTTAATTATGAATTTTGTTACACGTTTGTTTTTATGGTGTTAAATCAATATAATTTTCTAGATTTCATGAAATATTCTCTAGTTTGCACTCGTTTTATGGCAAAATGTAGTTTATGATGCACCAAAATCTAATTCACAAGCCAAGTACACATCTTTTGATTATCTTGTTTTAAAATATATAGCTCGAATTGGATACAACGGGTAAAATCTGGAAAATATTTTATTTTGACACCGTAAGGATCGGCATGTAAGAAAATAAATAGTTGAAGAAGGTAGTTGCAATTACCAAAATAAAAGGGGTTATTTTGTAATTTAACCTTACTTCATGATGGCGGTAATTACCCTAATAATTATTACTAAAGTACTTAATTGTTATCCGATCGTTGTAAGAGGAATTAGAAGATACGATGTGATCTGTGTCTAGCTATATTTGATATTAAATCTCTTGGGCCCTTTACTTGTTACTTAATTTAATTGGTGGTCTGTTGGTCTTTGAATTTTAATTAATAAATCTGTATTATTAGGTGCTGGCGGTTGAAAATAAATGCCATCTGTACAGTGTTTTTCAATCAATATATATTATTTTTGAGAAAGATATTGCTGCCTAATTATTAACAAATAATAATGATCGATAGACAAATAGATATCTTGTTTATTTTTGATTATTTTAATCAAATGATATCACGCCCTCTTAATTCATCAATTAGAACACCCTTCCGAAAATATTATCAATTAGACCACTCTTCCGAATATAAATTTGAAATGTTAAATATTGTCTCAATTTTACTAATACTGTTTTGACTCGAGCATGATTTCGATAATTTTCTAATTTGAATTTTATAAAACTCAAAACACGAAAATTGTAGGTAAATAAAATTAGACTAGGGTTTGAACTTTGAATAGTGCTATATAAATTAATATTCAAAGTGAGAATGTTTACTTTGGTGTGAATGAAGATTGAAGGATTAGAAATTGACTTTCAAAGATGGGAGGCAATAATATAATAGTGAACGCTGACTATGATTAGAGTGCTAACATGAGCCCCCGTTTTTTGTTCAAGGGTAAATCACAATCATCCCTTAGCTATGGTCAAATTACGAAAACTTCCTTATGTTTGGGTAATTATAATTATAACCGCTCTCAACTATAAATTTTCTTACACATTAACCAATGCGGTTTCAAATTTAGTGAAATCTTCGAGATAATATGAAATATTATCACTTTTGTACCCGTTTTATCTCATTCGAACTTTACATTTTAAAGCAAGATGATCATAATATGAGTTTTTTGTCTTGTATATATCGGATTATACTGCATCAGAAACTGTATTTTTACATAAAACGAGTACAAACTAGAGCATATTCTACGAAATCTAGATTAATATGTTGAATTTAATTATCCAAATAAGAAGAGATTTTTTATAAATTGACCATACCTCCGAAACAGTTGTAATTTACTCATTTGTTTAATAATTTGTTGAGATTTATCCCGTAAGAAATTGTCCAGTTGGTGAAGCAGGAGTATATCATGTTCTCTTGATAATGCTTCTATGTCGGGCTGACATACATGACTTATGCTAAAGGAACTAATATTCAATTGTTAATCCTTTGAATAGTCAAAAGTTTCTTTTCATAAAGAAAAAATAAAATATCTTTTTTGAAAAAAGTCGGAGGCTTCCTAGCAGTCGACATCCATTGTACATGGATTTCAAGATATTTGTATTAGTTATGGGAAAACAAAAAAAAAACCATATCGAAAAAGAATAATTTGAAGTAGGGTTGTGCATGGATCGGTTTTAACCACCAACTAACTCATTTTCGACCCATAATTTGTGATGCAAATTGATACGGTATATATTTAATATATCGTATAGTTATTCATTAGTTATTATTTAATTATTTAATATATATTATTTAAGTATTAATTTAGTTAGAGCCGTAGGTTTAATGATTATAGGATAGATATTAAGTATTTAATTAGTATAGGTAATTATCTTTTCTAGTTAGATTAGGATTCTAGGGTTTTGATCTCTTTAAATAGTCGTATTGTGCTAGGGTTTTAGAATGCAGAGAAATAATAAACAAGAGTTTTCTTACCTTTAGTAAAGAAATCTTATGATACTCGAGAGATCGCATCAATTGGTATCAGAACTGACCCATTTAAGTTGGGTCGGTAATATCAACCAACCCATGTATAGTTGGGTCGATAATGGTTTCTAATATGCTAAACAGTTGGTTAGTCGAGTAATATCGACCAACCAACTTTATTTATTAATTTATTATTTATTAATTTTATTTAAAATATTTAATATTTTTTCTTTCAAATTTCTATTTTATATCACATTTATTAAATTGTCTAATATTGACCAAAGTTCTAAAAGCAATAAATCTAACCCAATTATATTATTTAAACTATCTTAAGTTTAAGATATATAGCCTAAATATTTGGACGATTATTATTTGTTGAACTATTTATGTTTAATTGCAATACATATGGCCGATAATGTTTTGAAATTTTTTTATTTGAATATTATTGAACTAGTCATATTTAATTTATAAAAGATATAGTGTTGTAACAACTAATAAAATATTTAAAAAAATTAAAAAACATTTAGATGGATGAGCCATCAACCAAACCATCAACCGACCCACTAAATTGGTTTTCAACCATCACCAAACCCATGTAAATTGAGTCGATAACGGTTTCCGATAATTACTAAAGTTGGTTGGATGGGTTGAGTTAATTTTATGGCCGGTTTTTAACCAAACCAACCAACGCACATACCTAATTTGAAGGGCGGTAAAATAATAGAATTTTCAACCTTTTTTTTATAAATAAAATAGATTGGAATTTATTTACTTACAAAATATAGAAATATCTTCTTAAAATACTAGTATTTAATTTGTCCCATTTGCAGGGATAATCCTATGGGGCCGGGCGTAGGTGGCCGGCCACCCTAGTTCAAGTAGCCGAAACCCACGCCAAACCTCTTTTCTGGGGCTTTTTTTTTTTTTTTTTTTCTTTTCTTTCTATTTTTTTAGAATTTTTTTATTTATAATTTTATAGAAATAGATATACACTTTCAATTTTCAAACATACTCTTCTTCTTTGATCTGTCAAACACAAAATAATTACAAAATATATATTACAAAAGTATTATTGCATATTTTGTCAAGTATGAGATTATTTTTATAAAATAATTACAAAATAAATTTGATATTTAGGTAATTATTAATTATAGTGTATTATAGCCTATGTGATATTTAAATTAGGTAAAAATACACCCTTGAATTATAGAAGTGCCGCAAACACACTCATCAATTACGAAATGTATTAAATCCCCTTTATCGTTTGCATTATGTTTAAACATGTTGTCACCTGTTGACCTTCTTGTTACCAATATTTATTATTATTTTGCCTTTTTTTTTTTTTTTTTTACCATTTTCACCATCTATTAGCTATATAAATCATGCAAGGGTTGAAAACTTATGGGTGTCTCATTTTTTTACTTTGTGTTTATATATTTCCATTTGAAATTAGTTATTTTTTGTTCATTTTTCCTTACAATTTCACTATAATGTTCAACTTTAGTTGCATCACGAGCTCAATTTCATATCGCAATTCAAACCAAGCCACATCAGTATTTGGATCTCAAATTTTTTTAATTAAACAAAATATCACATATTAGGACATCAAATTAGAGTAAATATTTCTCAGTGTAAGTCAAACTCCCAACATACTCAGACACCTTAACTAGGCCTCCGTGATGAATTTTAATTATAAAAAAAATGATACGCCATTATAATCTACAAAAAGACATGCTCAGGTTTAGGGATGGCAACGGGTCGGTTCTGGGTCGGGTTTGCCTAAACCCAAGACCCGACCCACGAAAAATATATAAACCCAAGACCCGCCCCAACCCGCTTTAGCTTAGACCCAGACCCGCCCCAACCCAAACCCTAACTAAACGGTTCTGACCCGCCAGACCCGCTAGACCCATTAACATACAAAAAGTTTAATATTTTTTAACTTTCATAACATTTTACTTGTATATTTTTACGAAATAATCTCAATACTAAAATACAATATTTTAAAAAATCTCTACAAGTGACATAACATGATAACATGAACAATAAAATTACAATTAATTATATTTAACTTCGATAATAAATAAAATTCAAAATGCAAGACAATTAGCGGTGGTCGACGAGTGATAAATATTACTCACGAGAAATGAGATTCGAAAAATAAAACAGTGAAAATAGGTAAATGAGAATAGACAGTTTGATAAATGAAACTCGAAATTATATATATATATATATACGGGTCGGTTCTGGGTCGGTTCCAATAAGACCCGTAACCCGACCCAGAACCATCCGGTTCTAGAAACTTAAACCCATTACCCGACCCAAAACCATTTAGCCGACCCAGACCCGCCCCAAACGGGTCGGTTCCGGGTCCAAGACCCGCCAAACCCGTACCCATTGCCATCCCTACTCAGGTTAATAAAATATTAAAACAAGCTAAATAATTACTTAAAAAAATCATCCAAATACCGTTTGGAAGATGAATTATGCTGGAAAAAATAAAGAAGATAGTGACTTTGTATTTCTTATTTTTACTGAATAATTTCGAAGTATTAAAATTCTCATATATTTCCAATAGACTACATGTAGGAGTAAGATTGCAATTAAGAAAACATGAGAAAATTAATGTCTCAGTTGTAGAGATTAATTTGTTTCAACTGTTTGATTATAAATGCGATTGAGCTTAGCTCTAAACGAACTGAGCTGGTGTTTGCAAACGCTTTTTCAAAGTAATTATAAATTTTTTAATGTTTAAAAAAAAATTGATTTTGAAAAAAGAAAACTCATAATCACTTTAAAAAAACGTTTGCAAACACCACCTGAATACAAATCCGCTTGAATAGCTTAATTTGTTTTATTATATATTCTTTTGCTTTATCTAAATCAAGTTGAAATCAAATTTCATATCTTATCGAGAAACAAAAGACCTATTCATAATAAACTCGAGCAGAGCTTCCAAAGATCTATTTCGAGTTCTTATTAATATTAATATTTAACTTAATTATTTGAGTTATTTTAAGTTTTTATTAATATTTATATTTAGGGCTGGGACTGGGTTGGGTCGGTCGATTACCAGCCTAAAAACCGGCCCATCCGTCAAACCATTTTTGCTCAAATTTGAAAACCGTTGCCGACCCAACCTTTGTGGGTCGGTTGATGGTTGGCAACCGAATATTTGGTTCCGAAATGGGTCGGTTGATGGTTTATACCCGCCACCTAGTTCAGTTAAAAAAAATTCAAATTTTGGAGTAAAAATATCCATATTTTGCGAAATGCCACGGTGTTATCATCATTTATCAGTTCAAAATAATTAATAACAATTTAATGAAAAAATATAATTGGGAAATTCAAAGTAATTTCAAACATGCACAAGAGGTTTAGTGGAGTTTTGCGACTTTTTGTTTAAGGTTGGGCATAAAGAAACTCGTTGAAGATTTAAAGTCAATTTTTTTCCTTCGTTGATTGTTTTAAAATTTAAAATACTAATTATTTTGATAATTTCAATAACCACTTAAGAAAACACCGCATTTATTTTATATTTTTAATAAAATTTTAATAGTATAGTTGGATAACCGATAATTATCGGTCAACCAACTTTTGACAATATTAGAAACCACCAACCAACCCATTATATATGTGTTGGTTGAAATTTTCGACCCGATCCAATGGGTCGGTTAAAAATTGATTATCCGTCTAAAAATAGGGTCGGTAATGGGTCGGTTGGTGGATAAAAACCAACCCAGTCCCAGCCCTATTTATATTTCAATTCACAGTGTTGGATTCAACTGACCTAGTTCTGGATATCCGGCCCAAAAACTTCTCAAAGGATCCAAATAAAACCCACCGCACCAACTCTGAAAAGCCCGTTTCCAATTCGGGCTCCATTTTTCTTTCAGAGAGAGAGAGAGAGAAGAGAGAGAGAGAAATGATACCAGTAGCGGCAGGGGAAGAGGTCGCCCCCAAGCTCGTTAGGCTTCTGTATTTCGTCGGCGCCGGAGGTAAACCTACAATTTCTATTGCATCATTTCTTCAATTTTCAATTGTACCCCTCTTTCGTCCATCTGAATTTGGGGTTTTTTTTTTTTAAATTTGTTTTTGGAAAAAAAAAAAGTGATCTGTACGGCGGCGATTAACAAATGGAAGGAATTAGAAAGAAAGGCACTGATTCAGAAGGAGGAGCAACAGCTCAATCAACCACCTCTGGACAATCCTTCAACTGTTGAGTAAAACCTATTTATTTTTCTTCGTTTTTACGATTCTGCCACTATGAGTTTTTTCGGATTATTTATTTATATCTAGATTGTAATGCTTTTTTTTTTTTTTTTGAATATTGGGTACTAGGATGATTGTCATTTTGATTTTATGACAATTTTTGGGAACTTGGCTACGTTGAAACTGCAAAATAATAGCTGCAATAAGTTCATAGCTATGAATGTGTTCAATTAGATGTTGGTATTACAAGAAAATATTTAATCTTGTTTACGATATTTGTTTCGGGCATTGATTGAAAGAAAATGATTTCTTGTCATAGCTGATTTTAAGGTTTTTTTTTTCTTTTTCTATTTCTCATGTTCGAGTTGACGTTCGGTTGCCAATATTCAAACTAACTTTGGTTCGGAGTAAAAGCTAAATCCCGTAATTAAGTTGTACTACTGCCTGCATTTAGTATTTCTTTTTATGTTCGTTCATGCATTTGTAGTGTGTTTTCACTCGCTACTGGTCAAATTCAAGATTCAGTTAAAGAAAAATCAAACAAGTATACATTTGCTGGTTTGTTGAGTTTCTTCTTGTTTGTTTTGTAATGTGAAGGGGGCTTTCTTGATTTTTCCTAATCCCAATAGCTTTTACGAAAATTTGGTTGAGTCGTTTATTTATATATCATTTGATTTGATTATGTATGGTTGAACTTTCGACAGAGATTAAGTAAAATATATGTTCTTCTTCGACTGCTTGTTGATTGAGTCATAGACCTGAGAATGCTTGCTAACCAAACAGATTCCATCTCATCCGAATGTGTGAATATTTGTAGAGAGCTTTGTTGCTAGAATGTTTAATGAGTTTTTGCTTGCTTCTGATTAGCCCTATAACATATATCTTCTGATGGATAGTGTTCGAGTTTTTTCCTTCTATTTTATTTTCGTTATCCCCATTTCTACCGTTGGATTTATTGCACGTGTTCATGGCAAGATAAACATATGCTGATGGATGTATGGGTTGAAGATATCACAAGAGTGTGTGTTACCATGTAATAAGTAGAGGAGAATAGAGAATTCGAGTCCGGTTTTTTCTTTTTTTCTTTTTGTTTTTGTTTTAATAGTATATGGTTTTGCATCAAAATCATGAAAAAATTAACCAGAAAAACAAAGCCAAAATCATGCAATGAAGCTCGAATCCATTTTTTTTTCTTTCCTTTTTGCGAAAAAGAAACAAAAAATTACCTTGAAACTGTAACTGTGATTGTCGATGTCGATAATCTTGGTTTCATTTACAATGTAATCGAAAAGAATTAAAAATGTACAAAAATATCTAGGTTTTCGAGTAGAGGTATTTGATTCTCTGAAAATTGTGTTAAAGAAAAGTTACTGCAAGTCAATTTATTTTCTACATCATAACCCCTATTATTATTAAAACATTAGATTGCCACAAAGAATTGCATCTCAAGATTTATTGATAGTGTTCAATGTTTATCACTTGGGTACTTGTTTCTTGTCCTGCATTTTTTCCCTCTCTAATTGACATCTGCCAAACACGGCCTTAAAATCTATATCTGCGTGTCTGTTTCTTGCCATGCATTTTGTCCGTTTGCCTATCAGCTTTCCAAAATCATCAAACATATCAACATCAGTTAATAGATTTCATAGAAAATAAAAAATATTAGTGACGTGGACAAATTGTCCACTTTGCCCTATACAGAGCTAATTCACAACACTTGTCTCACAAATCACAATGGACTCCTCCTCTAACCTACACAACCAGTTCCACAGCTGCTTCAACGACTGGATCGACCAGCAAAACCACGACCTGCACGAACTCGTCGCCGCCGATATTTCCGACGGGGCGCAGACGAAGCGTCTGGTGGAAAAGGGTGTCCAACACTTCGAGGAGTACTGCGGAAAGCGAGCTGTGATGGCGCAGCACGACGCGATCTCGCTGATGTCACCGGCGTGGTGCACGTCTCTCGAGAATGCGGCGCTGTGGGTGGGCGGGTGCAGGCCTTCACTCTCGATTAGGCTCGTTTACTCCGTCTGCGGCTCGGAATTGGACGAGCAGCTCGAGGAGTTTCTAAGGGGAGTGAGGAAGGGCAACTTGGCCGAGATATCCGGTCAACAGCTGCATATGATCAACGCTTTGCATTGCAGGATTGTCAAGGAGGAGGATAAAATCTCCGCCCGTATCGCCACTTTGCAGGCATACGATAAATCATTCGAAATTTGTTTTCGTTTTACTTTCCGTCGTCGATTTCTAGTACTTCAAAACGAAATCGGGTTTTACTTTTAACAACTTAAGGTTGCATGTACACGGGAAGATGGCCATTGCCAAACTTATAAGCTCTTTTAAAAACTCTTATAAGTTGTTTATGAGCTCCTAAAATTTTGCTTCGTAATTTTTTTTAAAATAAATATCTTATTTTTAAAGAAAATAAGCTTACAGAGTTTATAAGTTTTGTTAAAGCAGTACATACACCCGACATTTTTATTTAAGATTATGTTTGTTCATTTACTAAAACATTAAAAATCGAAAATTACCTTCGAGTAATTAACTTATAAGCTCCGTAACCTTAAGATCTAATAGACTATCTGCTCATAAAACATCTTATCATATCAGATGTCGGAGTTTATAAGATGTTTTAAATAAACTTAGAGCCAAACAGGGTGTTAAGGATTCCAAATTTTGCATTATCTATTTTTTTTTTAACTTTATTTTTATGTTTAAGCTAGTTTGATTGGTTTATTAGAGAATTGATTATATTTACTTTATTTGTCAATTCCTTTATGAAATCGCATTTCGCCATGCCGCATACTAGCTTTTTACTCACGCGTGTGATGCGCGCGCGCATGCAGGAGGAAATAGCAGATAAGCCGCTTGCGGTGATAGCCAAAGGCGCGGAGCGAGTGGGTGAGTGGAGTCGCGATGTGGAGCGCGCAGCAAACGCTCACTCGCTCTCGTTGGCCGGCATTCTTGTTGAAGCCGACCGGCTCAGGCTCAGCACGTTCAAGGAGCTGATGGCTATACTCACTCCATCACAAGCACTCGATCTTCTCATCGCCACCAAGAAACTTCATATTTCTATGCACGAGTGGGGCAAGACTAGGGATCGCCACTTCGGAAAAACAACCACCTCTCCTCCATGATCGATCAATCACAACCTTCTTTAATTTCTGTTTTTTTGGTGTGTGTGTGTGTTTTAAATTAAATATGTACGTGTGTTCAATTTAACTTTTCTTGCCATATATATATATATATATATATATATATATATATATATATATATATATATATATATATATATATGTGATTTTATAATTTTGGGTTGGGAGTTTTTTTGTATTTTTATTTTAATCTCAACTTTTTTCAAACACCACTTACAAACATACATGTTGTTGATAATTAAGATTTTCTTTTTTCTTGTAAACTGTAGTTAGAATATAACCGTCAAATTACGCAGAGAAAATGACCTTAGTAGTTGCAGCATGTGAATATGTGTCAATTGATTTAAATTTGAATTTCATTGTCAACTGTCAGTACGTGGAGTCTGTCACACAGTGAACCAACCCTAGTGTGATCTATGTTTGTCTATAATTGACAAGTTATTATACTACAATATTTATTTACCAGTTCACCTACCTAGTTGGGTGCGGAGCTGCCAAAGAAAGAATATATTAACTTTCTATGTCCCAAATTGTTTATCTTTTAAAAACAAAAATCTAAATTATTCGTCACTTTAGAATACAAAATAATTCAATAATATCATTTATTATTCTTAATTGTTTGAAAGAAAAAAATAGTAGAAACATAATTTTTTACCCCGATCATTAATTGTAGTAAATTGTACCAAATTCGCAGTAAAAAGACTTTTCCTATGCATTTGCTACAAATTTGCTTCGTAACGTATATGGTCATGACAAAAACTTTACTACGGTAAATAATTGTAGCAAATATCTTTTTGCTATGGCAAATCCTAACATTTACTATGACTCCAACATTGTCCCGTAATAAAATGTATCTCTTGGTAGGTTTTTTATTAACCGTAGCAAAAGAAAATCGTAGTAAAAATCTTTTTTCCTACTAGAGATTAACTGAGACTTGAGATGCAATTAATGACAACTACATTTTAGTGATTCTCTATATTTATACTTCAATCCATAATTTTTTTAATATGTAATTACTTTTTAAAATACAAAAATAAAAGAATATATAAAATATATCGGGTAGATTTAAACGCACCTAATTATTTATATCCGGTGATGTAAACTGTAGATTTGATTAATAACTACCCATTAAGCATACACACACCAATGTGTTGTGTAATTATGGCAGATCTAGGATTCAAATTTACCCAGTATAAATAATTAAGTGTAGCATCTAATTTCGAGCGAATTGGTGAGGTGTCGAAAAAATGGATCCGCAAATAAGCTTCTTCCATGTGTGGGCCACGCGCCTCTACAAGAGCAAACCCTCTTCCAATTCCAACAACCTCCCATTATAAATCCTCTCCCCCAAACAACCCACCGCCACCCCCCGCCTCCCTCTCCCTAAACAAAACACACAGAGAGTTAAAAAAACCAACAAAATGGTTGGTTTCCAGTGCTACTACGACACGTGGTTTTCGCAACTCCGGCAGCTAGTGCAGCAGCTCAGCCAATCCCCGAACCCACCTACCACCGACGAGCACCACCACCAGCTCCGGCAGCTCATCAACAAGGCCATGTCCCACTACGCCGACTACTACGCCGCCAAGTCCGTCTCCGCCAAGCACGACGTCCTTGAGTTCTTCTCGCCGCCGTGGACCACCGCCCTCGAGCGGTCCCTCCACTGGATCGGCGGGTGGCGCCCCACCACCGCCTTCCACCTCGTCTACACGGAGTCCAGCATCCTGTTCGAGTCCCACGTGATCGATATACTCCGGGGGTTCCACACCGGCGACCTCGGAGACCTCTCGCCGGCCCAGTTCGCACGTGTGAGCGAGCTCCAAATTCAGACCGTACACGAAGAGAATGACATCACCGACGATCTCTCCGACTGGCAGGCATGCAATAGTAGAAAAAAAAAAAGAAAAAGAAATACTCACGAATATCTATTAATTAATTTTAATAAGTCTACTTGCGGTAGAATCTCGATAAATTAATAATCTCGTCGATTAGTATATGTTAAATTTTTAATTCAATAATTTAATATTTTTCTAAATTAATAGAATTTCTCTAGTCAGTTAATAGAATTTCTCTAGTTACGGACACTATTAATTTATAGAGGTTTTAATAGAGGTTTAACTGTAATTATAATCGATTTGGGATTATATACATTTTGTCGATGTCCATGTATATGCATATATGCCTACATATATATATTTGAACGTAGGATGAGGCGAGTGATCTTGCGGCGGCGATTTATGGGGATGTTGGCCGGAAAATGGAAAAGCTGGTGGGGATTCTGGAGAGGGCGGATCAGCTGAGGCTCAGGACCATGAAAAGCTTGGTGGAGCTGCTTACGCTGCAGCAAGGGGCGGAGTTCTTAGTGGCTGCGGCGGAGCTCCAGTTCGGGATTCATGGCTGGGGCCTTCAACAAGATCGCCACCGCGGAAACAACTAATTAATGACTTAGTTAGTAATAATTATTAATTAATGCACCAATTAATTAGTACGTATGTACAAGTTTGCCAGCAACTGTCAACTGTACCTTTTTTTTTATTTCAAATTAATAGTTAATGATGGATATTTTTGAGGTATTTTTTGTTGGGAAAAATTAATTAATTTTTAAAATAGTACTCTCTCCTTTTTACTTTAATTATTTTAATTGTTGTTTGCGTATGGATTCTAGAAAAAAATTCACAAATATTTTATCGGTAATTCTTTTATGAATAGTGATGAAGTTAATTACTTAGATCATCTAAATGATAATGTTAATTACTTAGATCACTTGGGGTTGTTAGAAAACGAACTGGGAGAGCAAAGCAGATAACTTGATGATTCTCCTGAGGTACCTGCGATCATAGAACACATGAACTAAGCCGGGTTGATCCGGCGGAAACCCCTCCGACGCTCAAGTCAGACGTGCTGATCATAGAAATAGTACAATTAATAGTATTGCTCAGATAATAGGACGTACTTTAAGGATTGAGTCAAACCTTTATTTATAGTTTAGTTGAGATTGTAGAGCCCAAACCTTACTTAAAGGTGATTGGACCTTGGTATAGTTGTCTTCGACATTAGGCTCGTGGCCTAGTAGGTAAATAATTTGTAGGTCCATTTGGTTGGGTCAATTAGGCATATCAAATAGTGAGAACATAATTGAGAAAGCATAATAAATACTTTATTGAAATTCTAATGGTGATATAATTAGTTTAAAATCAAAAAAGAATTCTTTAGAAAGATAAAATAAAATTAAAATATAAAGGAATCCTAGTGATAATTATTTTGAAAAAATCTCAAGAAAGATGAATAAAATAAAAATGTAGTTTTTAATTGAGGATGATTTTCAGGGAGTGATGATTCTGATGTCAGTGATGAAAATCATGCTCTGGTGGTGTCATTGTTCCGAATTCCGACGGTTTTCCGAGCATGACCATATGTATGTCTTTGCATGCATGGCGACACGTGTTACTCTTTCACCACACGTGTCCACGTATTAATTTCCAGTTAACTAATTTAGTATTTAATTACTCCATCTGTTCCATATTATATGTCTTTTTAGAGAGTTTTTTTTGTCCCAAATTATTTGTCATTTTAGATTTTCAATAAAACATTAATTGCATTATTTTCAATTTTACCCTTAATCACTCCTAATTAGTTAGTTGAGAATCAATTAATGTCGAGGATATTTTAGTAATCATATCTGTTTTTTTACTAGAATCTATGCACATTATTGATTTTCTTAATATGTGCAAAACAACCCAAAACAATATTTAAATTGGGACGGAGGGAGTATCAAATTGGTATTTATTATATTTTTATTTAGTAAATTCAAGACCATTACCCTATTTGGTATAAACTATGTACCAACTTTCCTAATGAGGCTTGTAACAAATTGGTATTTAGAGCAACTTCAATGGGGGAATCAAATGGATTATTAAATGATAAAACTTTCATTTTAATTCCCAAAACTCAAAATTTCTTCTGGAGGCACCAAAGGGGTAGTTTTTTTAATACTTCATCTCCTAGAGGTGCAAAAATGCATCCAAAAAACCAAGTATATATCAAATATTCCTAAAATTAGGAACTGCAATTTCAACGTAAAAAGAATAAATTTTCTAATAAATTCCTATGGAATAAGGACCAAATATATCTATTAATTTATATTTAATACATTTTTAAAATTAAAATAATTTGTTTGATTCCTACGGATTAAAGCATATAAGTTTTTTCGAAATATCAAAATATTATTTCAACCATCAATTAAGAGTTTAGATGTGTCATTTTAATACCTACCACTGGAGTTGCTCTTATAACGTATAAATTCTTCTTATATATATATTTGAAAAGTTAAGAAACTTGATCAGTAACTATCTAAACAAGTGCCGTATTTGTTAATTTTTCTCCGTAAGTTATTTGGTGCTGTTTAAAAGACAAATAATAAGGTTTTCGTTTGGGCAAATAGCATGTAACGACATGGCCTTTTCATTTTGCTTAAGGTCTTTTAATTGAATTTTGGTACATGGGGTTCGGGATCTACAATTGTACACTTTGATGTACTGATCAAGAACAGTTAATTATATAGTAGAATTTCGATAAATTAATAACTTTATTTAAATAATACTTTTTATCTAATCGACAAAAATATAGTAAAGTAATGACTAGAGAATTTAATATTTCGCTAAATTAATAGAATTTTGATAATTCCAATTGTATTAATTTATAGAGTTTAACTGCATACGCAACTTCCATAAGCAATTAATTAGATAATGAAGACTTGACGGTGTATGAATAGACTGAGTATTATCACTACATGAATAGATAAACAACCGCATTATAAAGCTTATTTACACCAATGAGCAAGAGTTTAGACCGGTGATTATCATTACATGAATAGATGCATTTCACAGCACAAAAGGAACTTGTAAAAATAACTTAGAAAGCTTATGTGCAAAGCTTGGTGGACAAATTCAAACGCGTTATTGAACCCTTAAAGGATAATAAAATGTAAATATTTTAATTTGGTGCAGCGGCGGCAGAAGACCGTTGTGGTGGCGGAGTGAGCCGGCCACCGCCGTGTGAAGATTAATTAATTTCAATGGGTCCGATGAAATTAAACAAACCTCGTAACTTCTTTCACTTTGGGGCTTAGCTTTTGGTCGTGGGATCAACTCATCTCTATTAAAAAAAAAAAACAATTAAAAAGATGATTCATTTTTAATTCAGTTGACCGTCACCATTAGTTTTGACCTCTGCCTTATATTTCTTCTTATTTTTCCTTTTATTTTCTAACCTTGTCATAAATATAACAGCGTGTACTTTTGCAATAATAAAAATCATGAAATTGATGTTTTTACTTTTTTTTTTTTCAGTTATTGATGCTTGTTTTATTTACTAAGTCTCGTGAAAAATTATTCAAATGTTTTCATAGAATGGTTAAATTAAATTTATAATTTTATATGTTAATAAAAATCTTATACATAAAAATAGTTCACGTTAGGTAGTTATAGGGCAACCCTAATGACATCTTTATAAATTAAATTCTCTATTTTTTAGGTAATCTTAATGTCATTTATGTAAAAGAATTTTTTCTGCTAATTTAACGATTTTCCACTTTCCAATTTGTTATTCTCCTCTTTTCGAAAATGACATTGTTGTAACTATATTTTTCTCTACAAAAATGCTTAGCGGCCCTCATGGCCGGTTCTGAGGGGAGACGAAGTAGGCGGTCACCTAGGGCCCCCGAATTTTTGTAAAAATTTAGGGTCCCCAAATTCTTTTTATACCTTTTATATATTAGTATTTATTTAAAAAAAATATATATTATATGTATAATTATAGCGACTCTAATTTATGAATAGATATTGATCAACGATTTTTACTTATTTCTATAATTCCTCTAATCATGGGGCCCCCAATTATAATAGTGCATTAGCTATTTATTTTTATATATTTACACTTATTTTAGTGCTACTTAATGAAAATTATCCTTAAAAAAATTGGGGGCGCTGCCCCTGAACCCCGGAAATTTATAGCCTTGCCTCTAGCTATATACATTACAAAAACGAGTTCACATAGATTTTTATTATCTTTTTAGAAAGAGTTTTAACTTAGATTGTAGAAGGGCCCCATTTTTCAACTATCTTCAAGTCTCGCCTAGGGCCCCCAAAATCTCAGGAACGGCCCTGGCTACTAGCATCTTTTGTCAAAAAAAAAAAAATTCTCTTACAATTTTTTTGGAGGAGTTTTGTTAAAACAACTAATCTTATATATAAAAGAAAGAAACGCTGGGCAAACCCTAAAAAACCCTAATGGTATTTATGTAATGAAATACTTTTAATATTTTTTTCTCTACTAATTTCTACTATAATTTTTAACAATTATTAAAATTGAAACTAAACCGTGAAGAATCCTACCTAATTGTACTTCTGTAATTATTTATTTTTTAATATTTTTTGTCTACTAATTTCTAACTATAATTTTCAACAATTATCAATCTTCTATTTTTCATCATATATATCAAATCTTAAGAGATAAAAGGTAGAAATTCGATTTGTCAAATTTTAATCTATATATTTCGATTATAAATCTTGATATGCCATATTTAAAAAAATTAATGTTATATAAAATATAAATAATACTAAATTATTAAATTTTACTATGTTATGTCAGTATACTATATTTTTTATTAGATTGATTATTTTTTCATTATTCAAAAAGAAAATTAAATTTGATATTTTTTTTTACTTTAAAAATAATATTCAGGAAAAAATGCTAGTCATATATAATAGAAATGACTCTCTTAACATCTTCTTCATATATACATCTTTCCGATGTTATATTTT